ATTAAATGGAGTTCACTTTCAAACAAACAACTGAAATTGATTGAGTTACCCAAATTAAAATTTTAAATTAAACCCAAATAACATTTTCTTAAGCGTAACTCCAACAGGGGACCATGTCATGAAAAGACTAGTATGCCCACCATTTAATGTTTGAACCACTTTCCTCCTCCCCCATGGACAAAAAGATAATTGTATATAACAGCTTTGCCGACCTGGCTTTAATGTCAGACAAAGCTGAAACTTGAAAGATTTCGATAGAAAACAGAGGTAAGAGCAGTAGAGCACCGTATCTTCAGGCTATGACTATTCTCACACCACTAACAGTTATATTGTACTTAGATTTGTGGTAGGACTCTTCTCTGGTCAATTTTGGGGACCATTAGCATTTAGTGACATGGTACAAAAGAATTTGNCTGGCTTTAATGTCAGACAAAGCTGAAACTTGAAAGATTTCGATAGAAAACAGAGGTGAGAGCAGTAGAGCACCGTATCTTCAGGCTATGACTATTCTCTCACCACTAACAGTTATATTGTACTTAGATTTGTGGTAGGACTCTTCTCTGGTCAATTTTGGGGACCATTAGCATTTAGTGACTTGGTACAAAAGAATTTANTATTGTACTTAGATTTGTGGTAGGACTCTTCTCTGGTCAATTTTGGGGACCATTAGCATTTAGTGACATGGTACAAAAGAATTTGAACCACCTCTATATGGTCTGCAATCTATACAAATCCTAACTTATTGCAGTGGATAAATTTTCAACACGTGTTATAATTTTTATGGTTCAAATTATTCTTGTCACTATTATACTTAAAAAAAAAAAAAGGAAGGGGCTATTGATATCTTTTCCACAAGAGAAGTGCTACCTTCCGTCCAAAAAATATTCATTGTAACGGTGTTATTATTGTTACGTGATGTAATTATTTAATAAAAAAATAACAAATAAGNAGGGGCTATTGATATCTTTTCCACAAGAGAAGTGCTACCTTCCGTCCAAAAAATATTTATTATTGTTACGTGATGTAATTATTTAATAAAAAAATAACAAATAAGAAAATAGGTCTCACAATTCTTAGAGGTGGATTGGTGGCTGAATCTGATATCTGATAACCCAGAGATCTCAGATTCAACACTTCTCATACCCTTAGGGCATGTTTGTTTCGAGTATAAAATTTAGGTGGTATTATATCTATTTCACTCCAATCTAATAGTATATTATACCCGGTATTAAACTATAATCTCATCCTTCTCCTTGTTTGTTTATCACAAATATTATTTGTGTAATACCTACTTTAAAAAGTTAACAATTGCGGCTAACCAATGTAAAAGACAATTTTAACCTTTAAAAAGTCAAAAATTGTGACTAGACTTTTATATGAGAATTGTACCGGAAGACATTTTGATCTTTTTAGTTATAATACCTATACCAAGAATATAATATCACCCCTAGGTGGTATTTATTAAGACCTTCTACAAGGCATTATGATTACTATTCATAGAAGGTCGGTATTCCTAATACCACTTCCTTATACCACTTTAATACTCAAAACAAACGACCCTTAGAGTATGTTTGGGTAATGAGTTAAAATGGGCTAGGTTAATATAAATGTGGGTCTCACAAAACCCTTGTTTGGGAAGGAAAAAATGAGTAAGGCTATAAATCCCGGGTCAAACCTTGACCCGGGTGCTACAGTATTTTTAGTCTGCCTACACGGGTTAAATGAAACCCGCCTCCCCCATAGGATACAACCCTTGCCAAGAGGATAAAAGAAGCAATGACATTTTTACCCTGCATACACAAACGTTCTTGCCCTTTTCACTTCGTCCAACCATTCGTCAAACGGGATCCTTGGCTGAGAAGCACCCATGCAACGACGACGATGAAGGTGATTGGTGGGTCTGTTGAGATGGTTTCTTGGGGTTTGGATTTGGGTTGGTTTGAGACTAATGGCGGTGGTTTGGTGGAGTTGATGCCGTCTCCTGAAGCTCTTTTCCGAGCTGCCATGGCAGAAGAGTGTGAGTGTGTGTGTGTGCGCGCTTTCTCCCCCCCTCTCTCTCTCTCCTTTGTGTATTCATCTCCATATATTCACCTTCATGTGTGATGCCATTGATGTTGGGTCGTGCTGGGCAGTGGATTGGAATGTGATTGTGCATTTTTTTGGAAAATTTTCTTTGTTACACATTTTCCGTTAGGTAGGTGGGAACATTTAGCCATTTTCCGTTATGAATTTCCTTTTCCATTTCATGAATTTCATTTTCCATTTTTTTGGGGGTTAAATTTTGCTTGTAATATTGCCTATTTGACTGTGCTGCTGTGCTGCTGAAGTGCTGCAGTGATGTTGTGTTGCTGATGCCCTGCTGTGCTGTGTTGGAGGGGGTATTGTTGATGGGGGGAGTATTGGAAAGAAAATGTGAATAGAATTTTTGTTTTATAACAGAATTTCTGATTGTAGCAGAATTTCTGGTTTTGTTACAGATTTTTTCTGGTTTTGATTCTTGTAATTTTTTGATTCATTGAATAAAATTGCATTGGTTTAAAAAAAAAAAAAGTGTTTTAAAATTACATCTTTGCTTGCCTGACATAGGAAAGATATTGGAATGGAGGGTTGAATGCTAAGGATGAAATCTGTTCTCTTGTTTTAAGGCTTTATCATATTGTTTTAAGGCAAGTCTGTTGATTTGTTTGAAAAAAATAAATACAACATATATATATATATATAACTTTCCTTATTTTTATATATTTTTATGTATACGTGGAAAATATTTAATTTTATTAGGTTTCGATGGATTAACCAATCATAGGATAAGATTGATTTAGATTGGAATGGATAGAGTCATGGGTAGAATGATAAATTACTACAAAATTATTTGTATAATCTATGGGACCCATTGAATTATACATTTATTTTCCAAACAAGAGTTAGGATTAGATATAATTTTGGATTAGAATTTTAAAGGGGATGAATGGGTTTGGTTTAGATTGGTTAAGATATAAANAAATTATTTGTATAATCTATGGGACCCATTGAATTATACATTTATTTTCCAAACAAGGGTTATGATTAGATATAATTTTGGATTAGAATTTTAAAGGGGATGAATGGGTTTGGTTTAGATTGGTTAAGATATAAAAAAAAAAAAAATCTATCCTATCCCACCCCATTACTCAAAAACACCCTTAAGACGTAATCTAAATTCGCTAGTGCTAAAAAAAGAAAAAAGGTCCCGCATAATTTAATAATCACATGATTATGTAATTTGATAACCATCTATATAAAAAAGTGAGGTCCATTTTATTTATTTATTTGTATTTTTATTAAATAGTGTATCACGTGATAATGATGACGTAATATCACCGTTCACTCTACTGGTTCAATGGGTCTACCTGGCTCTTAGTGTTTTCTAAATCCTTAACTATTTAACAACATTATTAATTTATACAACAACCTTGTATTTAAAATACAACCACTTTTTTCAACTTTAATCCNTCACGTGATAATGATGACGTAATATCACCGTTCACTCTACTGGTTCAATGGGTCTACGTGGCTCTTAGTGTTTTCTAAATCCTTAACTATTTAACAACATTATTGATTTATACAACAACCTTGTATTTAAAATACAACCACTTTTTTCAACTTTAATCTTTTTCATTAAACCTTAACTTTAATATATGTTACAATACCAAAATACCCACCCTTATATCATCATACTTCATTCTAATGCCCTTATCTGATAATTTTAATTTGCTTGTATTATCTGCATTTTTTTTTTTCAAAAAAAATTTTTTGGGAGAGGGAGAGGGAAGGGTGACTTGAACCCTTGATCTTAAAAAAACAGAACCNATTTTTTGGGGGAGGGAGAGGGGAGGACGACTTGAACTCTTGATCTTAAAAAGACAGAATTTTCACAAGATAAAAAATACCATTAAACTAAAAGTCGGTTGATTTTTTCTGCATTTGCATATCACTCCATCACCCAATTCTAATCAGTAGCAAGCCCCAAAACCCCCCACCCACCCCTACGGCAAAAACCATCTCAATTTAACTATCAATCTCCATTACCAACTACTCCAACATCAAGCTTTTTTATGTCGTTGGCATTGACGTCACCGCACCGTAAATGACTTAACTTTGTATCCGAATATTGTATCATAAATATGATATATATTCTTAAATTAAAATTTTATTCTTCATGCAATGATTATAAAATTCTCGTCTCTACAACACGATAATGTTAAGAGGTGATTTAACTCTTTTGAGTTAAAACACTAGTAGATCTCATTAATATTCAATGATGGAGATTGTGTCAAGTCACTTAAGATGAAAAACTTGATAAACATAGCATTACTCAAATTTTAAATTGAAGGAAGTGCTCAATAATCTGCCCCAAGCATGACGGGTTTTTTTTTTTTTTTATTAAGAATTAACCTTGAATAATAATAAAAAAAAATACACAATTTGTTTGGTCAGGCTAGAAAATAGAAGGCTATCTCTACAGGAATTACTTCCCTCAAAGTTAATTCTAATCCCTTTAGAGAGATAATTTTCATTTAGAGATGTGTCGCTCGCACCAATTTTTTATCGCGTACAACAATCTATTAGACTTGCACAATAGATAGAGAATCAAACCTACATCCAAGGCCTGAATACGTTTCTTCTAGAAAATGGAAGCTCGTTCTACTAACTAAATCGACTCCAAAAACTTATTAAATTTTGAACTATTTAACACGTACAATAATAAATTAGACTCACACAATCGGTAGAGGATCGAACTCACATCCGAGGCCTGAATATGTTTTTTATAGAAAATAAAGACTCTTCCTACTAACTAAATTAATTCCAAAAACCTATCAAATTTTGAACTCAAAACATGAATTTATAAGAAACCCATATTTCAACTTGAGCTTTCTATTAGGGTTTTAGAGTTTTAGTTTATAAATATATATATTTTCTGTCAGAAGCTCATAAAGAACACAGAGCACTTGGAACGTTACTCTGTGTGTGTGTTTGACCGTGTTTAGAGCTTGACTCAGATTTTACCCAAAACTGAATACTTGTCGTCTCGACAGCTTTGAAGTGTAAAGAGATCTGACAACATGACACTCCACGTTCGATATCTTTCGTAAGCAACCCCCCCCCCTCTCTCTCTCTACCCCTCTATCCCTCCCCTTCAGATTCAACCAAACAAAACCACGAACATTGCTCCTCTTCCTATCACCACCCTCACCATCAATCAGCTTCGCAATCCTCTCTGCGCAATATTAACATTATCACCCTCGGTACAACATCGCTTCATACCACGTGCGGTTGTATTCTGTGTAAAAGCATACATATATAGAGGGAGGGAGTTTTCTTGATTGTATTGGTTAGTGGGTTTCAGATATCTGAAACTAATGGCGGCGTCATCTGTAATGTGTACATGGCTAATGGCGGCTTGCATGTCTGTTGCTTGTGAAAAAGACCAAACGATGATGAACCCGAACCCTTCGATGTTTAATTCTTCGCCTTCGAAAGGATTAAGCAAAGGGACTCGTAGAAGAAGGGTCTTGGCTAAATGCAATTCTGATAGCACCAAATTGCAAAGAGGCTTAATTACATCATTGTGTGGATCGAGCATTCAGAATCTAATGAACTCCTTGGAGCCATGTCATGAGTATAACAATTCTAAAGGGCTTTTGATATCAGACTTCTTTGGTGAGAATGGGTTAGGATCGATATTCGGATCAAGAAATGTTCCGTTAGGTCGCAGGCGGAGGAGGATGAATAAAGTTACCCATTCTGGTATTTATGTTGTTTGGTTTGCTCTAAATTATGAATTTTTCATTTTAATTTATTGTTTTTATTAGTGACTTTTTGATTTAGAAACTTGTGTAAGTTCTATCGTTGAATGATTTCCTGTTTTAACTGATTAAGGTGATTACATGGGTTTAATCAAGAGCTCTGTTTGATGTATATTGAAATTTTTTTCTTCCCAAAATCTTAAATTTGCATTTTTTTTGCCTTTTCTNGAATGATTTCCTGTTTTAACTGATTAAGGTGATTACATGGGTTTAATCAAGAGCTCTATTTGATGTATATTGAAATTTTTTTCTTCCCAAAATCTTAAATTTGCATTTTTTTTGCCTTTTCAATTAACTATTTAGTTGATGAAGAGAATCTGCAGTAAATGATGCTCATGTAGTTGTTATGTGGACAAGTACTTAATAATAGATGACATTCAGTCATAATTTATGCATGAAAACTAAGTTTTCAGATCTGGATTAGAATAATGTTCATATTGTTGCATTTTCATGTGTATAATATGTATTCAAAAAAATATATTTTTCCCTTTTCAGTTTATAGGGTGGGTGTAGTTGGGGTGAATTAGATTGGTTTATCGGTGATATAGTTTTCCTCTGCCTTATTGCCTCATTCCTACTGTCTTGGTTCTGCAACATGAATGATAGTGCTAGCTTGTAGTTTCTTCTTGTATGCGATTTGTCATAATTGTCTTTGCTATCTGGTCTGCGATACTTAACATTGCTAAGTAGCTTAGAGTAAATTTGGTGCCTTCACCTGTGAATGCTTGAGTACCATCCAATGTGATCTGTTTAGACCTGCATACATCCACCAATTTGTGACTTATTTTTAATTGTTCAGGGGAAACTATGGCTGTAGCTGAGCAACCTACCATGGAAGTTGCAATGAAGAAGAAACTTCCTACCAAGCAAAAGCGGGTGGTAGTCACCGGAATGGGTTTGGAGACCCCAATTGGTCATGACCCCGATGTGTTTTACAATAATCTGCTTGAAGGTGTTAGTGGCATAAGTGAGATAGAAGCTTTTGATTGCTCCCATTATCCAACGGTATGTCTTCTTCATGATCTCTCAGCATTTCTAGAGAGCGTTCTCTGTTTAGATTTGATAGGAGGGTTTTTAATAACAGAGAATTGCTGGGGAGATCAAGTCTTTCTCAACAGATGGATGGGTTACACCAAAACTTTCAAAGAGGATGGACAATTTCATGCTTTACATGCTAACAGCTGGCAAGAAAGCATTGGCAGATGGTGGAATTACTGAAGATGTAATGGACGAACTAGACAAAACTAAATGTGGGGTTTTGATTGGCTCGGCCATGGGTGGTATGAAGGTAACTTTTACTTTATTGCGTTGTAGAGATGCAAATTTAATGAAAAATAGAGAATGGAGGGAATATCAATTATATGTTCTTATACAGAGTGAAATTTGAGGTTGTATAACAACTGCAGCATGAAATATGGTACTCCTTGTCATATCTGCATTATATGTGGTTTGCATGTGAAGTAGTGGAGCAATCCAAAGGCAATCAGCTTCAAAAAATCGCTGAAGCTGATTATATGCTCCAAGTTTGGAATAAAGCGAATTCTCAACTTCCTGTATTTACATGAAACATGGCATGGTGGTGTCTCTCTGTGGCCGGGTCTTTATCCGTGTAGTATGATCCCGTTGGAAATTCTTCTTGCAGTAAGGGGTGTCCAGGCTTTCAGAATTGCACGTTAGAGCCATAATACTTGTTCTGCATTATCTCATTCTTCATTGATTCTCTATTTGGGTTGTCTTGTAAATTGAGCAGGTTTTTAACGATGCAATAGAAGCTTTAAGGGTCTCGTACAGGAAGATGAATCCTTTTTGTGTACCTTTTGCAACTACAAATATGGGTTCAGCCATACTCGCTATGGATCTGGTGAGCTAAATCTGATGTTGCAAATAAACATCCACTTGACAGCCAATTGAGGTTTTTGGACGTTATTGTAACAGCTTATTTGTCTATCAAATTACAGGGATGGATGGGCCCAAACTATTCGATTTCTACTGCTTGTGCTACAAGCAACTTCTGTATATTGAATGCAGCAAACCACATCATCAGAGGTGAAGCTGTAAGTGACTTGCATTTGGTTTTTCCTTGAGCAGTCCTGAAACAATTTGATTAAGTGAAACTGCCAAACAAATAAAGAACACGTATTGCACTTTACTGCAGTATTTTTGACATATCTTCGGAACTTTCAGGACATGATGCTTTGTGGTGGCTCAGATGCTGTAATCATACCCATTGGTATTTCTTTCTTTCTTAGATTTCATTGACTCCAGTAACCTGAATTTAGTTGTGTTTACAGTTTGGTTGTTCATGCAGGGTTGGGAGGATTTGTGGCATGCAGAGCACTTTCTCAGAGAAATGGAGATCCTACAAAAGCTTCACGCCCTTGGGACATGGTAATGTTTGATACACTTTATGCTTTCATCTTCTTCTCTTTCCTTGAGTCAGTTTTTAAAGAAACCTTTTTTTGACAAATGACATAGTTTAAGGAAAAGAAGCTCTTGTTGAGAACATGAATAGAAAATTCACTGCAAATTGTGGCACGCTTGTCAACATTTCACCCTTGCCACACATTTTGTTATGAGATAATATATAATGTAAGTTCAGTAGGTTATTTCATCTTCAGAACTGAGTTTGAAAAGGTAATATGTCATAAACAATTCAGGGCTAAGAGCTTTTGAGTTCTATTTTGTGAATTGTTGAAATCATTCACTTGTCTGAGAAAGTAATCTGAGGATGCTATGGACAGAGTGATGCCTATCAAAGCCCCGATCCTCTTATTTCCTCTTTAATTTGGACTATGAGTAAAACTTGTCGTACATTTTGGTTTTGTTATTGGGTAGAATCGTGATGGTTTTGTTATGGGAGAAGGAGCTGGAGTTCTGCTTTTGGAAGAACTTGAGCATGCAAAGGTATATTTAAAAGCCAAGATATAATGATATATTATATAGGAGCATGTGACTTTTTAATGAGAACAAAGTACATGCCACTTATGCCTGTTTTTTGCTAATATCCAGAAAAGAGGAGCAAAAATCTATGCTGAATTTATGGGTGGAAGCTTCACTTGTGATGCATATCACATGACTGAGCCTCATCCTGAAGGTACACTTTTAAGGTCTTGCACTAATGAACATAAAAAGAGCCACTTGCATTGCCATCTCGGGTATCCAGTAATATGTCCCGACTCCTGAGAGATGGCAAATTTACTGTTCTGTGCAAGTGCATATGTTCAGATGGGTGCATAAGCTAGTTGCCATGGTGAAGGCTTTGGTACTTGGTAGTTTGAAGCTTGGAGAGACGGGAGTTTCAATAGGTGCACATCTTGTGAGACCAGGTGTTATCCACTCATAAACCCGGAGAGGACCACCAAATTAGCAGTTCTTCTCCTCTATTGGTTTGGTTCACTTGTCAAACCAGACCTCTAGTGAATGTTTGGGTACAAGAATCCTGGAGTTACAACGAGTGAAGAATCAAACCCCTAACCAGTAATAACACAATTCAACTCAACTCAACAAAGCTTTTTTCCAATAATATCGGACCGTCCATATGAATCCTGATTCACCATTGTGCTCTTACAAGAGCCATATTTTCTGTTAAACCCTAGGCTACCATATCCTTTCTGTAATATCAATTTCTAAGTTTATTTTGATCTCCCTCTATCCCTTGCATCACCATTAAAAGGTGTCATATTACTATTTCTCATTGGTACAATAATAGGTCTTCTAGAAACATGTCCAAATTATATAAGTTGATTCTCTTTAGGTTCAAGTTATTAATAAGCTATAGCCAATAATATGAGTCAGGTTTGACATTGTACCTTGTGTTATTCTAATGATTCTACGCACCAAATGGGCTGGCTGACCAGCCCACTGTTGGGTTGTACCTCAGCTACCCCAAATGGGGTTCTTTGGTTCTAATAAGTATGGTATGAGCATTAATTTAGTGTTTATGAACATCGAAATGTGCATCTATGTTATTTTAATGCTAATTTACTCCCTGTAAATCTTAATCTTCAGCAGAGACATATTCTCAAAAAAGAATATACTTATCCTTCTTGGCTTCTTGAAATGTGTCAAGGCTTTGCTCTCCTGAGTTAATTGTTTGAGTAGTGGCATCAAAGTATTTTGAGGCTGATGCTCCATTTGTGTTATATGATTTAAGACAAAGGATTGCAAGAAAGTCTTCAGCCAAAAAATTCTCTCTTTCCCCCCCAGGTTATTCTTGTGATGTTTGGTATGTGTTATTACAGATACCTTGTTCATAGTTTTTGCAAATGAGGCTCTTTCTAAAGTTACAGATTAAACACATTGTTTTTATTCTAGATTATTATAATATTTTGGATATTTTTTTCCACATTATTAATTTTTATCTTTTGAAACTTCCTTTACTGCATTTTGTAATGTTATATGTCATTGAATATTCACCACTTCCGTGCATATCGTGTTTTGTTCGTACCAGGATGAATGTGAGAGAGAGAGAGAGACCGACCTAAGTTTTTGAGTCCCAATATGTGCATTTGTATTATTGCAAAAGATGTAATTTTTGTATACTAAACATTGCCTAGAAATGTTTGGTAGATATCTGACTTAGGATTGAGAAATAGACATGCAACACATTGTATAACCTATTATAAAAAAATGTAGGTTGAGCTGATATCCGTTTCTCACCTACATNCCTAGAAATGTTTGGTAGATATCTGACTTAGGATTGAGAAATAGACATGCAACACATATTGTATAACCTATTATAAGAAAATGTAGGTTGAGCTGATATCCGTTTCTCACCTACATGCAGGGACTGGTGTCATCCTATGCATAGAAAAGGCCATAGCTCAGTCTGGCGTATCTAGGGAAGATGTGAACTACATAAATGCACATGCTACATCAACACTAGCTGGAGACATTAAGGAGTACCAAGCGCTTGTTCACTGTTTTGGCCAGAACCCCGAGGTTAATGNAGTCTGGCGTATCTAGGGAAGATGTGAACTACATAAATGCACATGCTACATCAACACCAGCTGGAGACATTAAGGAGTACCAAGCGCTTGTTCACTGTTTTGGCCAGAACCCCGAGGTTAATGAATTAAATATATGTTTTCCTTTGTAGGCCTTGTTTTTTATTCTTGCTTGATGAGATCTTCTAACATTTGCAGCTACGAGTGAACTCTACAAAATCAATGATTGGCCACCTACTAGGGGCAGCTGGTGCTGTGGAAGCCATTGCAACTGTGCAGGTAACAATTTATGAATTTAGTTGTGCTACAAATTGAATTCATGATTGATGAAGTTTTTTCCTTATTTTTATAGAATACTAAAAGTGGCATTCATTGGTTCGACCTGGGATTGATTGCCACAAAAGAGTGAATTGTTCTTATTCCTTGTAGTGAACCATATATCTGTATTGGTGGAAAGTGGATTTTAGTTCGCACCACAGCATTGTATACGGTGACCTTCATCTGTTGGAAAGAGCTATAATTGTGTTGTTTTGACCTAATCTGGCAATATTATGTTTATTTGTTATTATATTTTATTACCTGAGAATGTCTCTTGTGCATCTTATAGCTTTATTTATTTCTGATAAGAAAGGAGAAATTATATGGCAGAAGAGAAGGCACATAATTTTAGAGGGATGGGTAATCCTTCACCAAGAAGCTAAAAAGATAATGACATTGGTCCAACACAACAAGAAACTAGCCAATAACCCGTACTAGGGTAAATCTGATACCCCAACCACTGGACGATTAAATAGCAATCTCATGTGGACTAAAAGTGCCCCTAAGTGGCATCATCAAGATTTTTCAGTCTTAGTCAAGGAGTCAGCCAGGTCAATGTCAGGTCTAGAAAGTATTTGTTCTGTAATTCTCACCAGTCAAGGGTCCTCTAGATCTCACCCTGCCTAAATATCTTTGAAACCTCCACTCAAATTTCTGAATATTCATAGAAGACAACCTTCATAATTAGCTGAATTCTTCTCTTGAATCGTTAAGCTAACCCTGGCAGGTCTAGAGAAAAAGTTCCTAAATGTGCCCCCAATTGGGGCTTGAATTTCCTAAATACCAACCATCAACATGCTCCCCATGGTGGAGCCCTTAACAGAGCATTGACAACACTGTTTTGATGTAAGAGGGCATCTGATCTCTCCAACTGCTCATGATAACACTTGTTTGCTCCTTTTATTGGTTACACTTAATGAAAGCTAGCTCTATTTTGTTGATGATTTGATTTCATGCATCTAGTCTACTTTGTTTCAAATGCATCTTCGGTTTCTTTTTTCAGACATCACTAAGAAATTGTCCTAGTAATCATGCCTTGCCTATAGAAAATCATATTCATCCTCATGGATGTACAGTTTTGAAAATGATTTCCACAAAGCTTCCATGTGATTTGGAATGGGCAGAGATAAGATCTTGTTTCTCTTGTTCACACTAAATTGATATTTATGAAGATGATCATTTATGTGTTCCATAAGAAAAAGAGTTTCATTAGGCATAAAAGGTCAAAAATATTGGTGCATAAGTTAAGTGCATACATTATCAAAATGGTGGCATCAGATCCACTGCAGTGGCTGAATTGAATTGCTTACACGCATGATTACAGCGGCAGGCATTGGTTCGGCAGTCATGTATATTGTGCAACACTAGACATAACTAGTTTTTAGTTTTATTTGTCTTTTTTAAGTTAAACAAATCGAAGTTTCCCAACACTTTGCAAATTCTGTGATAGTCTATTTCCCTTTTGTTTGGTTTGGTTGATACTTTGTTTCTGCTTGCCACTTGGTAGGAAGCAACTAAAGCTCAAGCTCATGACTTGTCCAACAAACTTTTTGGGTGCTAGTTATTCACCAATACGTTGGTCGAGTTTATAATTCGGTTAAAATTATTAAATGTATTTTTTGGTAATCAATGGTTTTGCCTGTCTGTTTTATGTATCCCTAGTCACCCAGTATTCCCTTCTGTTTTTATCGAAGTGACAATTTCGAATTTATTAATAGTTGGCATTTGGAAAATTGATGGGAATAGGCCTCACCTTGGTTTCTGACTGCATTGTTGACTCATCAGGTGTATACAGTAGGGTCATAGTTGGCCTCTCATATGTAGGTGTTCATGTTCGGTCATACTTGTCGAAATAAAAATTAGATAGAGAGAGAGAGACATAAAATGTGTCATACAATTTTTTGATAAATCAAATTGTATGAAGCCCTGATGATTGCTGCTTCTCCATCACTAGAGAGGCTAACCTTATAACCTTTTTTTTTGGTCAATAGATATATACCACCATCCTTAAAGAGCAGTTCACCATTGGTTGGTTTGGTATCCTCATTGTTGTATCAATTATTGAGGAGGAGAGATTTGTTGAGCTTTGCTCATATATTTGGTTGTCAGACCATTCACTTGCCCATGATCCATGTAGGTATTTCTTTGTGCAAGTGTAAAATGGTTTGGAATTCGATTGTAGAAAGTATTGAGAAGGCTCTTTTCTCCTGTTGCTTGTAAGAGGGGGCATATGCTTTGAAGGCGAGATCATGCTTATGAAACTGACCCCATGGAAATTCCTGTGGATTCTAGCAAATGTTCAAATTTTAGTTGAAAGATCACCTAAGTTTTAGTAACGGGTGGTGTAGCAGTTAGTCTGACTGCAAGTGAATATAGGATGCAATAAAGCTTGCGCAAGACTGAAATAAAACCACTATAGAGGCTCATCGATGCCTGTAGATTTGTCTCGAAACTTTCTCCTGTTTTCTTTTTATACGTTCATTGCTGAAGAATGTCAAATTCTATTATTTTGTCTGCCATACTTAAGTAGAATCTGTGTTTTTTAGTGTCCTAAAACTACCATTGATGCAATTCTATTAGCACTTAGATGACCAACGTTTCTATGGGCTTTGCATTTCTAAAGGTGTTGAACTTAATTTCTTCAGTTGGTACTATTTTAAGCCCTCGAATTTTCCTTTCTATATTCTCTTGGCCTATTCTATCCTTCTTCTCTTGAAGTTTGTATCTGATTAATATGAAGTCGATAGTGCTATTGTTTGCCAACTTCGTTTTAAATTTGAAACTTATTAAGATCTACTTCAAAAGTTGAAGCTTGATGAAATGTTTCCTGAGTTGAATGTTGACATGGACTTTTGACTCCTTGTAGGCAATAAGGACAGGTTGGGTTCATCCGAATTTGAATCTGGAAAGCCCAGATGAAGGCGTGGTATGTTCTTATAAGGTTTCTTGTCACTATTCACCCATTAGTTGACACTATGTGAATTGTTATTTCATTGCACTGTGTACTGTCTTGGTATCCTTCAAAAAGGGTCATGCAAGCTGCCTTTAACCCTCACTGCGTCTCTTTCATATTATTAACTGAGAATAGTATAGATTAGTAGCAGTTGGGTAGAAATAATATGTGATCCTCCTTGATTAATGTTCACTGCATTCTTCATCGTTATTATCAGATCACGTAAAAGAGTATGCAAGTGGATGAACTGTCTTTTGCTGTTTATTTTAGCTACATGTGTTAATCTGTTTTGAGTCACACATTTTGGACTTTCAATTGGATGGCTTGCTCAAAACATTTTTGTAATCCATTTTTCTTTTACTTGAATTTTGATCTACATTATAACTAATTTTATTAGTATACATACTAGCCTTAGAAGTTTGAATGCCTGCATTTCCAAATCAGAACATGAATGTGCTGGTGGGCCCAAAGAAAGAAAGACTGGACGTTAAGGTGGCATTGTCTAATTCTTTTGGATTTGGTGGCCACNTTTCTTCCCTCGGGCCTGATCGAGACGATTGATAAGATACAGGGCGTTGCTGGTAACTCTGGCTATATTTGTAATCTTATGGTTCACATCAGACCTGACCTTCCCACCAACCTCCTTAAACCCATCAAGACAAGTTTCTTCATTCGTCAAGGCCGCACTCACCCATGTCTCAGCATTGTTCATTTGCCACTGGAATGTCCCCCTGTGCAGATGCTTCAGCTCAGACAACGTCTTGCTCAGCTCATCCACCGAGTCACCCATCTGCTGTACACAATCATCTAAAGCCCCTTTCTCTCTCTTGCTTTGGCTTCGAAGCTTTGCTAGGTCATTCGACGCCCGAAGGGCTAGAGAGAGGCTCACTTTTACTGCAGCTTGGGCTAGTTCATTTGGGGTGTTCGCAGGGCCTGAATAGGAGGAGAGGGTTCTGAGGCAGAGGTTAGGGTAACTTGCATGAACACACGACGAACGGAGGAGGTCCTGCGATGCATCACTGGGTTTTTTGGCAGTGGTGGTGCTGGATAACAGCAGTGAAAGGAGGAAGAGGAGAGAGAAAGGGATAGTCATCCTAGTTCCACTGTCGGCTGTGCTGCTGTGTGTATATTTTGTTACTTTACATGGTAATATGTGCTATATGAGTTGGTTTTTTTATAGGAGTTAGAGAGTTGGATAAGAAAGTGAGAGACATCAGTAAGGTCTTTCTTTTTTCTTTTTCTTCTGTTTTTTTGAACAGTATAGACATGGGAGAGGGACATCGAAATTCGTGATATTGAAAGACAATTACAGTATAGCCCCTATAATATGAGCATGACATCCAAGTGTTTTGATTGTTTCATGAGATTTGAAACATAGATATGTAAGGGCATGGTTGGAAGAAGCATATTCACCGCTGCTGCTAAGTGCCNATCCAAGTGTTTTGATTGTTTCATGAGATTTGAAACATAGATATGTAAGGGCATGGTTGGAAGAAGCATATACACCGCTGCTGCTAAGTGCAACTTGTTGCATTTGGCAGCAGTGGGAAGCTGGGCATTTGTCAATTGGTAACATGCACATTGGATGGTGCTTGTTTTGGTTTAAGCACATTGGGTGGTTCCAAACATTTGTGTAAATAGTAATGGCTAGCCGTTGAGTTTGGGAGTAGTCGGAGTAAGTTTAGATACTGTGTAATAAAAAAAAAATGTCCAACAAAAAAAATGTCCAACAAGGTTCATTTTGAAGTTTTTCTACCCAACCTCGAGATAATTCTCATTGTGCTTGGCTAATATTATCTAATTTTGACAAATGTTATTCAAACTTAATTTGGAGATCTAATCTGGAAATTTGATTAGTTATAGCAGTTAGATTAAAAGTGTGTTCCATCGAAAATTAGGACTCGTAACTAATTCAATGACAGAAATGAGATAAGATAGCGTTGCTCGTTTCAACAAATACTATTCAAATTTAATTTGGAAATCCGATCACTAGTCAAGTAATCTCTTTGCTTTATTATTAAATTCTTTAAGGCAAATCTATAAATAATTACTAACGGTCAATCAAAATTGAGGAGTTACAGAAACACATAAATCAATATTAAAAATTTCCAATAAATTTGTATAATTGCTCAATTTTAATTGACTGCCGGCAAACAAATTATTTACAGNCCCCTTTCTCTCTCTTGCTTTGGCTTCGAAGCTTTGCTAGGTCATTCGACGCCCGAAGGGCTAGAGAGAGGCTCACTTTTACTGCAGCTTGGGCTAGTTCATTTGGGGTGTTCGCAGGGCCTGAATAGGAGGAGAGGGTTCTGAGGCAGAGGTTAGGGTAACTTGCATGAACACACGACGAACGGAGGAGGTCCTGCGATGCATCACTGGGTTTTTTGGCAGTGGTGGTGCTGGATAACAGTAGTGAAAGGAGGAAGAGGAGAGAGAAAGGGATAGTCATCCTAGTTCCACTGTCGGCTGTGCTGCTGTGTGTATATTTTGTTACTTTACATGGTAATATGTGCTATATGAGTTGGTTTTTTTATAGGAGTTAGAGAGTTGGATAAGAAAGTGAGAGACATCAGTAAGGTCTTTCTTTTTTCTTTTTCTTTTGTTTTTTTGAACAATATAGACATGGGAGAGGGACATCGAGATTCGTGATATTGAAAGACAATTACAGTATAGCCCCTATAATATGAGCATGACATCCAAGTGTTTTGATTGTTTCATGAGATGTGAAACATAGATATGTAAGGGCATGGTTGGAAGAAGCATATACACCGCTGCTGCTAAGTGCAACTTGTTGCATTTGGCAGCAGTGGGAAGCTGGGCATTTGTCAATTGGTAACATGCACATTGGATGGTGCTTGTTTTGGTTTAAGCACATTGGGTGGTTCCAAACATTTGTGTAAATAGTAATGGCTAACCGCTGAGTTTGGGAGTAGTCGGAATAAGTTTAGATACTTTGTAATAAAAAAAAAAATGTCCAACAAGGTTCATTTTGAAGTTTTTCTACCCAACCTCGAGATAATTCTCATTGTGTTTGGCTAATATTATCTAAGTTTGACAAATGTTATTCAAACTTAATTTGGAGATCTAATCTGGAAATCTGATTAGTTATAGCAGTTAGATTAAAAGTGTGTTCCATCGAAAATTAGGACTCGTAACTAATTCAATGACAGAAATGAGATAAGATAGTGTTGCTCGTTTCAACAAATACTATTCAAATTTAATTTGGGAACCCGATCACTAGTCAAGTAATTTCTTTGCTTTAGTATTAAATTCTTTAAGGCAAATCCATAAATACTTACTAACAGTCAATCAAAATTGAGGAGTTACAGAAACACATAAATCAATATTAAAAATTCCCAATAAATTTGTATAATTGCTCAATTTTGATTGACTGCCGGCAAACAAATTATTTACAGGCTGCCAGTAAATAATCTACTGTCATCTTCTTTTCTTATGTTTGATGTACTGTAGGATATTAATGGACATGGAACAAGAATGGGACCCTATGAGCAATTATTGAATGAAGTCACAGGCCATCTTGTGATTCAGGCCCTGCATCTCAATCTCAATCCCATCTCATTTCCCAAATCCAAGTGCTTTTAATAAAAGCTTTGAAGCAGGAGGGGCAGGGCATGTGCAACTTTCAGAGCTCCAGGTGCTTTAATGGCCCCTCCTCCACCCCTCCATAAATGTATCATAAATGCAAGAGAAATGATAATTCCATTCATCTGATTAGTTTCACACTGCAGCTGCACCCACTGAAGAATTCTGATTTGCTACTGGGAGCTCACAGATTCTGAGAGGTGAAAATAGTCTCGGTAAGACTGCGTACATCTAATTCTTATTGAACCCTGCAATGACGAAAGTCTCGTGCACTGCACTGCCCTTTTTAGAAGAAAAAGAAAAGAACCAATTTCATATCTAGATAGGCAGAACACATCCTTTTCATAAATACCATCATCGGATGCTATTTACTCTCTGCGCAAAACTGTAGGATTCCAAATGCTTTGTAGCAATGATTTTTGTCATTAAATGCATTGCATTAATCCTCTCTAAAGGTGTCTTAAAATATCTCTTTATTGTCAAAATGGTTACGTCTTTTAAAAAATTGTGGCCTTTTAATAAAAGGGTGTTTTTGGCACCTTCTTCCTTCTCTATTTAAAGACATTTTTTTTTCTTTTTCCTCCATTGAATTTTCAAGCTCTCATCGTTGCACTTCCAACAATTGTAAGTGCTTTCAACCCTCTTTTTTTATTTCATTTCTGTTCCCTTTTCTATTGGCCATGACTCCTCTAAAACAATAGGATATTTGAGCTTTTAGGGCCAAGTACCATATCCTTGCTAAAAAATATGAACCCCTCATAGGTTCCAGAGAGTCCACCCTCATTCCTACCAGGGCCATACTTGAAGGTGAAGTTAGGTTTTCCCTCTTCCCTTTATTTCTTAGGATTCTGGCCTCACTAAAACATTGTCCCAACTTCTTCAAAATAACTATGGGTGTAATGGCTTTAAACAATTTTCTAGGCACCAATAAGCCTTGGGGAGATCCTTTATTTCTATATCATAAAACCTACTAAAGAGAAGAATTACTTCTAATTTAGGAACAAAGAAATCTACCTCGTCACCCAGTTTTCTAACCCTAACAAGAACCATGAGAAGAAGTTCTTGTTTGCGTTTGGGAACTAGGAATATAGAGAAGGTGAAAAGCCTATTTACAGATGTTCGTATGAATCCCTGGTGATTTCAATGGCCCATCTAGTTCGATTTTGTATTTTTTTCTTCTTCTTATTTTTATGGGATTAATTATACTTAGACCCTATAAGGTTTATTATTTAATCACTTAGATTCCATGACATTTAAAATATTACACACAGACCCTAAAAGTTTGTAAGCAGATAACACATATACCCCGTTAGTATATTCGTTAATAAATTTTTTTCAAACCCCTAAAATTTAAATCATGTAATATTTAAACTTTTCAAGTTTAAAATATTGCACTTAAACAAAAAATACTCCAATTAAATGTACAATATTAAATATTTGAAATTTATAATCACTAGTAAGTGCACAAGTGCGTTGCACGTGGACTATTTTGATTAACAAATGAAATATAATATTATCTAAAGAATACAAATGAGATCCAATCAATAAAAAGTCAGCTAATAAGTTGCAATGATTTGTGGAAAAAAATTAAAAATTAAAAANACAAATGAAATATAATATTATCTAAAGAATACAAATGAGATCCAATCAATAAAAAGTTAGTTAATAAGTTGCAATGATTTGTGGAAAAAAATTAAAAATTAAAAATTTTCATATTAAGAAAGTTTTATTAGTAGTACCGATATATATTAATTCATTTTTTCTTTTTTTCTTTGTCACCATCATAGTTCTTTTAAACCTTACCTTCACTATGTACTTAATTAGGTGATCAAGTAAAACTAAAATATAATTTTTTACCACTTTACCAAACATCATAATGCGGTCTCAAGAATCCAAGAAAGCCAAAAAGCTCAAATTCAAGTATCACCTCCATATTGTCAAAAACGAAATAGTAGTATGTTTTGGTTCTCCTGTTATTTGTTTATTAAGATTGCATTAATTTTTTTTTCCATTGTTGAGTGGTGATTCAATACCTTCTTTATGATATGTACAATGATTTGTGTATATTACTCTTACAAGAGAAAAGAATAGATGTTAATTGATCTATGAGGATCGAACTTAGGAAGGATAACTTGTTTCTACTATAAAAGTTTTCTTAAAAAAAAATAAAAAATTGAACTCCTAACCACGTTGCACGTAGACCATTGTTAATAAAACAAATAGTCCCTTATCATTTGTAAATTTGTGTTTCAGAGAACTTTGGTAGATAAGTTTCTTACGTGTGGGGCATGGTAGTTGAATTTCACTTGGAGATCTTGTAGCACCTATTACTATATCTTATTTCGTTTTCTTTTTGAGGTTTGTTCAACATAAACAAAACTATTTAGATGTTAGATTCTTTCTTAGACATTTCATTTTATTCAAATTTCACTAATATTGTTGAATTCAACATCTAAGCCAAAACAACATGATTAGACTTTTATGTCATTCACCTGGTTCGTAATATGTATATATCAATCTTTCATGCAAAAAAATTTAATGTAATTTGAGTTGTGAATATTCAGCACTACTGGAATATTACCTTGGCGAAAATTAAGAGCACAAGTCTATCGAGAAGATTTTCAAAACATCATATATAAAGTCTGAAAAATAATGTCTTTCCCTTTTTTGCGATATAGGATCCATGAGTTGAAATGAGGCTCAACAAACATATTATATGGATTTTTTGTAAATTTANCGAGACTCTTATCTTTGGGGTATGTCAATTTATGACCCTTGCATTTAAGCAAGTAATTCAAGTAGCTTGATGAGTTGTAAATCATCTATAAACTAAAGAAAAATTATTAAAATGAATATTGTAGTCTTTTCATACTTTGTTAAAGCCAATATAATCATTCAATAGTTATATATATTGAATATATTGATTGTAGATTAATTTTAATAAGGTGTAGGTTGAATCAGTTATATTTCTTGTGGAAAAGAAAGTATATGAAGAGTTTTTTTTAGATATTTTATTAATATTGGATATTGGATAATCAATTATATAAGTTTTTTTAATCTTTTTAATAGGGACATAAGGGTTAGTTAAATTTTTTTCACTTTTGTTGACAGTTTATGGTAGTATATAAAAAGCAAAAAATTATAATCTCAATTAGCTGTATTTTATGATATATATTGGTATCATCAAAATCATGTCTAATTCAACAACTTAAACGAAATTTGTAGACTTCATAGAGAGGAAGATAATAAAAAGAAAAAAGGAAAGATTAGAGAAAGAAACATAGAAGTTATAAAGGGAAGATATAAACTTTATGAAACGATTATACAAAAAATAATTCAAAAGTTTTTCAAGATCTTGATTGACATTTAAAAATAATATTGATATAGATAAAAATATAGAATAGTAGCTCAAGAGTCACAATTACAAATAATACACCATTAATGTTTTATTCTAACTCTAAAAGGGTAGTATGGGTATTAACTACATTATTATGGTTAATATCGTCAAATAAAAGTTTTTTTACTTTTGTTGACATTTTATAATAGTATAGATAATTCATATTCTATTATGTCATTTATTAAAATAAAATTAAAAATAAAAATTAATTTTTTATTAAAAAATCATAATTAGTAATGTTGATGTCAAAATTTAGATGACGTCCACATTAGTTTGTCAGATATTTATCACTTACCAAAAAAGTCAAAGATCGGAAGAAGAGAGATTCGAGATTGACCTTTCGATGCCTAAGTTGGTGTGTTTGTTAACTCAAATTCAGTATTTAAAATGAATGTATTGGACATTTATTAATTAAATCTGTTTGATAACTAAAATTTAAATTATCTTAATATGTTAAGTGCTCCTTAAAAATAGGTTACAATATTAAGTAGGAGATCTCTTATTTAATTCTAAAAATTGAAAGCGTTCAGCAAAACCATCTTTAATAATATTTATAATATAACAATTATACCCCGAAATATGTTACAATCCTATTAAAACTCTAATTAGTCTTATTTTCAAAATCCCTAACTTATCTATCCTCCTTATCGATCTCTTCTTCAACGGGTAACAGATAAATCTTCTTCCTTGTCTTCTTCTTCTTCTTCTTCTTCTTCTCCTTCTTTTGTCTTTTGCAACAAAACTATACACAATAAATAATTACACACATATAGTTACACACACATATATTAGTTATTGTTTTTTTTTTATAAGATTTTATTGTTCACTTATTGTGTTATTTATTTATTTTATTTGATTAGATGTTTGTTAAATGTAGAGTACAATATGATAATAGTAATTATAATTTATGTTATGACATATTTTATAAAAAAAATTTCAAATTAAAGAGTAGAAGAGTAAAAATAAAAATTAATTTATTTTTAGACATCAGCTCTTTGTAGTTATCAAATAGTTTAGTTCAATTCAGTACTTAAATTTCAGTGGATACCAAACAGTCCACAAATTTAACATTCAACTTTTAGCTTTCAGATTTTAACTTTCAGTTATCAAACATTACCTTAATAAGTGACTCAAAAATTATAAACTACATTTAGAAGTTAGGAGTGACATACCTGAGACATCTTTAGACTAAATGGACTTTTCACTTTGAATCAATTTTTTTATCATCAAATATAAACATATGAAATAAGTTTAATCAAAATATTTGCATATTTTATTATATTATCTATTGGCATAAAATTCAAATAAAATCTCAATTTTTTGAGAAAAAATAGCAATTAATATAAATATACCAAAAAAATTCAATTCAAAACTGATTTTCATATAATTATATTATTTATTAAAATAAATTAAAAAATTAAAATAAAGGGTTAAATTATAATAGACAGAATATGTCGGGGACTTGAGACTTTTGATGCGGATGCGGTGGTCAGGATTGCTCGAGTGGTCATCCTCCCTTTATAGACGGTAACAATAGGGAATTTCAATTATGGTGGCGGTGGTTCAGTTCGTCGCGGTGAGAGAAAGGGTATTGATGTAAAAAAATTAGTATTTGTGGGGGTCTTCTTTGGATAAATCCATAAAGTATATCTTTTATTTTAAATTGTCATATAAACTTTCAATTATCTTAATGTACCATTGAAGTTTATGCAACTTATTCCAATCGACCCATATCTTTAAAATTAATTGAGACATAATTTGTTAAAATTAACCGTCATTTAACGGGAAATATATTAATAAAAAGAGTCGGTCGAAATAAAAGACATAATTTAGGGGATATTTTTGGAATTTACCCTTGTTCTTTAGTCAAAATTCTTTGGGCTTAAGATGAAGATCTTTGTCCTCACGACAAGTGATTCTTTCATCTTCTCTCCTGTTCATGACGGCACAAAAAAGCTGAAGTTTTTGGCTGGCACAGTTTCGGCGGTTGAAAAAAAAAAAAAAAGGTAAATATTAGCTATCTTCGAATCATTCATATTCAATTGGGTCGCTAGATAGTTTTGATCTTTTTTTTTTGGATAACCGATTTCTCTGTGCGTGGTTGTGTGGAGATTACCCTAAGCTAAATTAACGTGTTCAAACCCTAATGTGAAAGCAAAAGTGTTCACCTGCGTAACGATTGGGGTTTGATTAGAATAAAAAAAAAAAAAACCATTTTGTTGAGTTTGTTGTGATCATCACGGTGATGGAAAAACTCAATTCAATGCCTGCTACTGTTTTTTGTCGATGATGGTGATGTTTTGATTTGATTTTCTGAAATTGATTGTTCGTTTGTAACAAATTTCATTGTTAGCTATGCTTCTGTCCGATTGCTCTTTTGCTTCCTGGTTTTTATTTGGGAAATATATGTTGGTATGGTGAATTAGGTAAGTGTGGTATCCTTTTCATTGTTTTTAGTAATGTGTGTATGCTTATTATGTGATGAGTGTGTGGCAACCAATTCTTAGAATGTGAGCCCGTCTTAGAATGTGAGCCCGCCCAATTGTGTATGTGAATTTACCTGCTTTTCACTTTGTACGAGATTATATGATACATCAGTTACTCATTCCCTCGCCAGACTTGTCTCCCTGTATAACGGCCTGCTTGTATNGTGAATTAGGTAAGTGTGGTATCCTTTTCATTGTTTTTAGTAATGTGTGTATGCTTACTATGTGATGAGTGTGTGGCAACCAATTCTTAGAATGTGAGCCCGCCCAATTGTGTATGTGAATTTACCTGTTTTTCACTTTGTACGAGATTATATGATACATCAGTTACTCATTCCCTCGCCAGACTTGTCTCCCTATATAACGGCCTGCTTGTATAGCCATCTATGTCTTCAATCCCTTCCCCCCACCCCAAAAAAAAAAAAAACAACATGAACACAATCTTCTTTTAACATTGAAGCTAAGAGACAGTAATCCGTAATAATGATGAGAAGCCATTCAAGGCCCCCCTGAATTTTTTTTGTTATTACCTATATGTAGTATATTTATCTTCTTAGTTATTTTGGTAGTGCTCACCCATGGCCTAGCTATACTTAGAAGTGCCCACACCTATGACCTACGTGAATCCCTTTTATTTCATTCATGTTATTTACATACGCGTCTGATTACGGTATTGAAATGTTATTTTTCAGTACCACACATCCACTTTTATTTAATAAAAACATATCAAAGTGTAATTTTTTACTTCTTATTATTTTAATCATTCCAATCAATGATATATATCAAATTTTGGTTCGGTACCTCTNTCCACTTTTATTTAATAAAAACATATCAAAGTGTAATTTTTTACTTCTTATTATTTTTATCATTCCAATCAATGATATATATCAAATTTTGGTTCGGTACCTCAGCATATGATAACATTATCCTTTACATACATCTCTTAGGTCACCACACCAAACGAAAGGGAACTTTGAGACTGTGAAAATTCGGATAGGGAGAAGAACAACTCAATTCATTTCGGAATCTCCAATTTGCGATTGCTACCTTTCATTCTATTGCGCAAACATAGGTTTTGGGTCAACCGGCCTGTACACATGAATCATTATGTGTCTTTGCTTTTGATAAAATATCTTCTTTGTTTTTTTTGAAATTCTAAGTTTGACCACAAGCAACTGAAGGGCTATGATTTTTAGGCTTGTAAATTTGTCAATTGGGATGTTAAACTCATTTGGGATTGATTGTAAATGGATATAGTAGTCTCATTTTTCGTACAGGGGTGTAATTAGAATTTTTGTCATTGTTTTTTTGTGTCTATATGTTATGTGTATTGTCTATTGGTTTTTTGAGTCTAATGAATTTTTTAAGTATCAAATATGATTTAAAAAATTTACTATTATTATTTACTTTAGTCAATTGAAGGGGAAAACTAAAATTTATAGTTGAAGTGTCCACCCTCACATTAATTTCTGGCTCCACCTTGACAAAAAGCATGTTGGGATGGTTTTTAGTTTATTGTAGTGGACAAATGAACAATAAGAAAATCTGCCACCTGAGCTCTTGCACATATGTCATTGCAATTGGATAGGACTTCAGATTATTTTCAGTTATATCTAAGCTCAACCCCTTTGAATCTTAGGAGCATGTTTTGGCAGCATTACATAAAAGAAGGGTTAAATTTTTTACTATGTTTTTGTTAATTGATTATTGTTCAGCTTACAAATTTGTTTCTCCCTTCAGATTCTGCTAAGTATTCTTCTCTAAGTATGCATTCAAGCAAGCACAGCCAGTTTTTCTATAAAGAAAGTCATCCCTCAACAGGCTTGAGTATGCCTTTTCACGTTTTATCCAAATATATGTGCAACATTGTTTCCCATCCTTGGCCATAACATATAATTACCTTGGATTTTTCTAATGCTGAACATTGCTTCACCATTTTAGTGAGATTAGTAGGAACAAATTCGATACTTCTGTTGACTTCCTTCCATTTTTCCAAATATCTATAAATGGATTCTTTTTTTCTTTTTCTATAATGCAGTTTAATTTTCTGGTGATTTCACATCATTCACTGCATGTGGCATAATTCATGGCAACATTCGAAGGAAGAATTTCGTATTCTTCACTTTCAAATATAGAAAAGGAGAACAGCAAATTTCACTACATTGATGACTTCAGTGAGTCTGTCTGGACTATGCCAGAAGGCCAGAAAGTCTGTCCCTCTGGCAAGATGTCCTTGAGGCAAGACTTTCCCCTCCAGTATCCCCTTGAATCTGAGGATATTCTTGATGAAGGATATGAGTCGAGTGAAGATCATTGTGTGCAGCAAAATACTCTCCCTGAAGTGAATTTGAAGAACGTATTGAATGGGATGTTTTCGATTTTGACTGGACGCAATAAAGATTCCAGTTCTAGTGGGGTTGAGCAATTTCCCAGTTCAAACATTTCATTTCTTGGGTCTTCAAAAAATGGAGATGCTTTTTTGCATTCTTCAGTTTACCTACCTAGTGCTCCACCACTTCTTGAGCCAAATGGGACTACCTATAGTGCTTACAAAGAGGTGCTGGAAACTGAACCTCCAGAATGGCTTCCAGATAGCTCTACTACCATTTGCATGCAGTGCACTGCTCCCTTCACAGCTCTTACCCGCGGCAGACATCATTGTAGATTTTGTGGAGGGATATTTTGTCGAGCATGCTCGAAGGGAAGGTGCTTATTACCCATTAAGTTCAGGGAGAGGAATCCACAAAGGGTGTGCGACAGCTGCTATGATAGGCTTGATCCCTTGCAAGGTGTCCTGATCAACACCATCAGCAATGCTGTGCAGGTTGCAAAGCATGATGTCATAGATTGGACTTGTGCAAGAGGTTGGTTAAATCTTCCAGTGAGTTTATCAATGGAGCAGGAGATATACAAATCATGCAACACATTGAGAAGCTACTGCCAGGTGATATTCCTATTTTGGATTAAGCACTTCCTGCAATTGGCTGGTGTTTACTGACTCTAAAACCAAGATCAGCCTCTTCCTTTTCATAAAGTTATCCTCTTTAAAGACTTAATAATGTGTGGGGACCTTCTATTTTGCTTTGAATCTCTCTTTCTCACACACACACACACGCACCCACATGATAGTTGACCTGCAAAAATGGTTAGTTTATTATTAGCAGGCACACAGTTTATCCTAATCTAGATTTAGCCAAATTGATGTAGATTCTAAGTTGCTGTTTAAAATGATTCTTTTTTTATTAGTGTACAAAATAATNACACACACGCACCCACATGATAGTTGACCTGCAAAAATGGTTAGTTTATTATTAGCAAGCACACAGTTTATCCTAATCTAGATTTAGCCAAATTGATGTAGATTCTAAGTTGCTGTTTAAAATGATTCTTTTTTGATTAGTGTACAAAATAAATTTTCAAATGGACAGGTTGCCCGGTTGAACCCTGAGAGGTCCATACCCATGGCAGTTCTGCAAAGAGCAAGAGGTTTGGCAGTATTAACGGTTGCTAAAGCTGGGGCACTTATTACTTATAAACTTGGGACTGGTTTGGTCGTTGCTCGAAGGTCTGATGGATCGTGGTCTGCACCATCTGCCATTCTGTCTGTTGGATTAGGATGGGGTCCTCAGGTAGCCTTTCCCTTGTTTCAAATGTTCTGGTATCCATATAGTTTTAGTTGGTATTATTGCACTTTTGTGATTTATTTGAGAAATTAAATTATAGTACTTATTAGTTTATCCTGACTTGAGAACCCACTTACTCTAATCTTATCAACTGAAACTGTATCGTCATTGAGTGATATGCGACACAACTTTCTTTCATTCATCAGTAATACAAGGAAATGTTTAATTGAGCACCTTTGACATGAGTGTGTTGTATCGGAAAGTTATATTTCTCCCATTCGGATTGTTTTCACACTTATTCTTGATCACATCAATCTACCATTGACAGAGCTTTTCCTGCTAAAACCCACCATAATATATGCTGGGAGGCTTTCATGCTGTTAGCCAATAGATAAGTATGGAAGTGTTTTGCTTAACCATAAACCTTTATTAAATATTCCATCTTCTTCGTGTAAACCAGGAGTATATAATAATAGAGTTGTATGTTTCAGTCAATCCTTGCCAGGTTACTCTGACTGCATGGTTATAGCATGAATTATGAAGTTGGTGCTGACATTTTTGTTTTAGCTCTTTGTATCATTTTTTTTTCAATATGTTGATCTGAAATGGTTTTTGTTTCAGTTGTTTTTTGAGCAAATCAGCCAACTAGACTTCACCATCATCACCCCACCATATTACACCCGTAGAAGATTACTTTTGTTTAGACGCGTGCATTCAAGCCTTGTTGTGGGTGCAAAACTCCTTTTACAATCCCTTTACATGTTTATGCTCTTATACTGTTTGTTCTCTTCAGTCAGTTTTGTTCCACAATATCTAAGAATATTGTGGAAAACTGTCAAGAAAAACCTTTATGTCCTATCATATGTTAGATGTTCTCATTGTCATTTCATGTTAACGTTCAAGGACTTGAATTATTGCCCTGCAATTTGTGAATTTGATTGCTTCGACCTCTTGCATTAAATTACAAATCAATTGTAAATGTGGATTCCACATTTTCCATCACTCATGGTGTTTTTTTGCTTTTGCTTTTGTTTCATAGATCGGGGGTGAGCTCATGGACTTCATAATTGTGCTCCATGATTCTAAAGCTGTGAAAACATTTTGTAGTCGTGTGCATTTTTCTCTTGGGGCTGGATGCAGTGCTGCAGCAGGACCCATTGGGAGAGTGTTGGAAGCAGATGTTCGAGCTGGAGACAGAGGTTCTGGGATGTGCTATACTTACAGTTGTAGCAAAGGTATTGTATATGTTGGACAGTGTTGTGGGCCAATCTCCAAAGTCGCAGTTCAATGAACTATTAGGCCTATAAGTTTGTGTCTTGGTAGTATAGGGCCCGCGGAGGAGGGGGAGGGGGGCATCACACCAATTATGTTTTAAAAATGCCTTTTACCCCCTTATTTTGTTTTTTATTTTCAAATATTATTATGTTGTCCCTTTCCATACTTTATTGTATCTTGTTCCATTCTTGGTTGACCTCCCTTATTTTGAATTCCTGACTTCACCCCTGGTGTCTTGAATTGGAAGTATTAGTCAAATTTCTTTCTAGCCATTTTTTGTAGGGTTCATTCTAGTAAAATACTTCATGATTTGTGTCTTGGCTGTCGTTTTTTGGAGGGTTTTTTTTCTTTTTCTTTTTTGGGGGTGGGAAGGGATTGTCAATTAGGAACAATTCACAATGTGGCTTGTAGTTTGTGTCATAGGAAGACAACAACACTTAAAAAAGTGGAGGTAATTCGAGATCACCTATGAATAACGGTTTCCCAAGTAGTTCCTCTTATGCCACGATAGATATGTCTTTCAGACAAAATGTCATAGGCTGAAGAACATAGTCCCTGGGAATATCTGATATATTTGTTATCCATGGCTCAGGTGCATTTGTGGGAGTTTCACTGGAAGGGAACATTGTTGCAACGAGGATGGACACTAATCTATGCTTCTATGGTGATCCTTATCTCACCACTGCTGACATCCTTCTTGGGACAGTGGACAGACCTAAGGCTGCTGAGTCCTTGTATGCTGCCCTCGATGACCTCTACTCCACACTTCGTTGTTAGACCTAGAGTTCATGTCATAGCAATTGTATATGCTACACTTGAGTTGCNCTGCTGACATCCTTCTTGGGACAGTGGACAGACCTAAGGCTGCTGAGTCCTTGTATGATGCCCTCGATGACCTCTACTCCACACTTCGTTGTTAGACCTAGAGTTCATGTCATAGCAATTGTCTATGCTACACTTGAGTTGNTGGACAGACCTAAGGCTGCTGAGTCCTTGTATGCTGCCCTCGATGACCTCTACTCCACACTTCGTTGTTAGACCTAGAGTTCATGTCATAGCAATTGTATATGCTACACTTGAGTTGCCCCCCGACAAATTTCTGTGAAATTTTTACTACTTAGTAGTGAATGTCTGGCTCCTGGCACAAATCATCGCCGTTTGACATGCAACTGTACAGTACATGATCCAAGGGGGTTGAAGACCGGCCCTTTGCACCTGGACAATGCAAGTATATATTCAAATTGAATTGTTTTCTACTTTAGTCAATGTGTACATATGAATTATTTGACCCACTTTTTTATTATAGATCAGTTTGTATCGTGTGATTGTTGCATGCACTTTGTATATAAATGTTGGTTATGAACTTATTGTATCACTTACCCTTTAAGAATTTCGGAAATCTGATGACTTTAGTTGGATCAAATCCTAAATTTCTGAACAAATCTTCTGCATTATTACTTATTTTTGGTTGAATTCTATCCTGAATTGCCAAACCAGATTCTGTGTTGTAAAACATAGCATTAGTGCCAGAATACGAACTCTAACATGGATCCTAAACAGTTGGGTTATAACTCTCGGCCAATGAAACATTGAGCCCATAATAAATAATGGAGATTGACCACATGAAAGCTTTGATGATTCCATTCTCCACATAGTGTTTCTCTTGGCAATACAAGAACAATCAACCAAAGAAAGTTTAGAAGCAAACACACCAAAGAAAAATTCAGAATACTATTGCTGAAAGGTGAAATCTGTGCTGATTCATAGCTGCCCTACAGTTTCCTCAACTTGTAGGGTCGTCCTCTTCCACCTACAAAAACATCAAACTTTTCCTTCTGGGTTGTAGATCAACAACAGATACAGAAACACGCCTTGATGAATGGAGGACCTCAAAAAAGTACGGCAAAATAATTGGCCAGCAAAATTCAGTCCTTGACATCGATTACACCTTCTGTTGAAATCTGAAACCTAGCTTCAGCCTCTGCTAGACATGGAGAACTTATTACTTTACAAATTCGCTCCTCCCCTCTCCCCTTTCGGAGAGCTAGCCTGTCAATAGAATGGTGAATATTGGTGAACTACTAACAATCAATCGGCAAGGCAAAAAGTACTTGTAGCATGGACAGACCTTGTTGTAGAAGCATGAGCCATAATATTACCACCAATGGGTTTGATTTGAGGCCCAGCAAAAATGGCAGAACCATCCACTTGGGCAACAACTTGGTTAGAAATAACAACAGCTACACCAAACTGCAAACGTAAAAAAGATCACTTTTAAAGAAACCTCTCTTAGACAATAGGTTAATCTATATCTTTTATGTAGTAGAAAACCTAGTATAATCCTTAGGAAGATGATCTGGCAACTGAACTCTAAAGATAGCTGAGNTTTTAAAGAAACCTCTCTTAGACAATAGGTTAATCTATATCTTTTATGTAGTAGAAACCTAGTATAATCCTTAGGAAGATGATCTGGCAACTGAACTCTAAAGATAGCTGAAACAGTCCCCAAGCATAATGTCACCCGAACAATGGAGATTGAGACTACCTCATCCGCCAATTTCTGAAGGCTGCGCAAGAACTTTGCAAGATGCATTTGCCTTGCTGACAGTTCTCCCCTACCAGAAAAATCTGTCCTATAGAGAGCAGTAGCACTGTCCACTATCATGAGAGCAAACCTATAATCAACATGTATTGAATAATTAGTTTGGACCTGCAACATGTCTATCTTAATACCAGTCGATTGAAATTATATTGCTTAAGGTGGCCACAAAATTCTTGACACAGCCTGCTGCAGCAGTATAAATGTAATTGAAACCGATGAATGCCATTCACTGAGTTTATAAATCAATTTTGGGAAAGTTTATCAATGCCACTGGTCCGGTGAAAGGGTAGCTGCCTGAATAAAGGGAAATATTTTGTACCATGTGAACATTTGTTTCCCCAGTTTGAGGCATATTTTATACATCAGTAGAGAGAAGGCACTCGCGATTTATGTGCCATGTCGGATAAGATAGAAAGAGTAAGAGGAACCGAGTTGTATTCAGAATGACACCTTCCGTTATAAAACAAATAGATGTTCCATTTCAACCACGTGTCTCACTCACTTCATGGTTAACACAGAGATGGCTCTACCTATTCGTTCAAGTCATCGTCATTGAATAACAATGTATCACCGGATACTATGCCACAATGCTGTGATATGACCTAAATTTATTGTCATGTCCAATTTCTTCTTTTGCTCACCATATTGTGTCGCCCGATACCCTTTTACAATGTTATGACGAAATGCCTCCCTACGCTCCGAGTTGATGGCCGATACCATGACTTTCAATCATGAATGATAATTAGTGGAAGTTACCACAATGAAGACCAGTAAAGTAGAGTACAGTAAAGCCTTTTTTTTGTGTGTGAAAAGGAATCAAGTGTCGAAAAACATGACAGTTAAGTTGAGATAGACCNAAAGAGTAAGAGGAACCGAGTTGTATTCAGAATGACACCTTCCGTTATAAAACAAATAGATGTTCCATTTCAACCACGTGTCTCACTCACTTCATGGTTAACACAGAGATGGCTCTACCTATTCGTTCAAGTCATCGTCATTGAATAACAATGTATCACCGGATACTATGCCACAATGCTGTGATATGACCTAAATTTATTGTCATGTCCAATTTCTTCTTTTGCTCACCATATTGTGTCGCCCGATACCCTTTTACAATGTTATGACGAAATGCCTCCCTACGCTCCGAGTTGATGGCCGATACCATGACTTTCAATCATGAATGATAATTAGTGGAAGTTACCACAATGAAGACCAGCAAAGTAGAGTACAGTAAAGCCTTTTTTTTGTGTGTGCAAAGGAATCAAGTGTCGAAAAACATGACAGTTAAGTTGAGATAGACCGGAGTGGATGTGGAGACAGATTTGTGTTCTCTTTTAATGAGCAGTACTATATCTTTTAAACTAACTACAAACATAAAGATATGTAAAACCACATCTGCTGGAAATAAAGTATGTTTGTCCTTAGGAATGCAAAAATGTGCTATGGTGGCAGTCCCCGAGCAAGTTCAGGACTAAAATAACCAATAGTTTTACTGCAAAGCAGCATTCAAAAATCAATCAATATACTTATACAAAATGGCCAATCAAAATAAAAATATTCACATTTTTTCATGGATCTTGGCTGCTAAGAAAATACCAAGTATGAAAAATCACAAGTGACTTAAAACATAAAGTACCTGGTTTCTACCATCATTGAAGCTGCTTCAAGCAAAAGCCTTGATTGATGATCAGTGTTGTATGCCCGAGCATAGGCCACATTCTCCAAAACATCAGCACCATTCAACCCAAACCTGCAGCACTCAACACCGTTGACAACTCATGAAACATGAAACATTTCCACCATAAGGTTAGTGCAACAAACTAAATAATGCAACACAGCATCCTTAGATCAAGGTAACTGAGCAAGACCTGTCTGCTATCTGTAAGAGTCTTTGTGGCCTAAAAGTGCCCTCAGCATCAATGTACATTGCTTTTCCCTCACCACCCCCTTGATCTAATGGAAGCTGAGACATTTACAACATAAATAAAATGTTTTGAATTAGTTGATGTGATCAATATGTAAAAAACTTTTTCAATTGCGTGACAGTTTCAGACTTAGCCAGGCCAATGAGTTGATTCCATACAGCAAAAGTCAAAATTCTGCTTACTGTATCGTTAATCCCTTGAGATGAAAAGACATTAGACAAATTATTTTGCCCCTCTATATGGCCATTGTTATTATCCTCCTTTGGCATGGCTGAAGCCTACTTCAGCTGAACAGACAGATACATATCAATATCTTGCAATATGGAAACAGTGTCTTACTTGGCAAGTGACACATAGTGTGTGACAGAGCTGAGTCTTTCCAGAGCGGAACTCTCCATATATTTCAGTTATAGATCCCGTCTCAATTCCTCCTGTCAAGTCCAACATTGTGAGATTCCAATCATACTAAGGGAAGTATTAAAGGAACATGCATGTGTTTGCGAAAATGGCTTAGTTTTATAGTACATAGTGTTGATGAAAAGATCCTGACATTTCCACCTTCTAAAATTTTGTCAAGTTCTCTTGATCCAGAAGTTATCTGAATGATTTCAAGCCTCTGAGCATGAAGTTGGCTAGCACTAGTGAAACTCAAAGGGACCAGTTTTGAAGCTGTTCATATGAAACACAAACCAACCACATATAATTATGCTTATTCACTGATCAGAATAAATATCGGTATAAAACATGGAAGGAAAACAAAATAGCTACTACAGAGAGGAAAAACATGCCCCCCTCAATGATTTTGTCAACTTTAGCTTCACTGATTCCTTTTATGTGAAGAAGTTCTTTCCTAGGAGAGTATGCTACAGATTCCACTGTGCAGAGACCAGCATCTTTAAGCTTCTTTATGTCGAGGGAAGCAATCCCACATTCCTTAAAAGATGAATATACAAATGTGTCAATATGTAGTTTCACCCAAGGTGCGAAAAATGCTTTAGTTGAATAAGAAATGTGTGGCACAAGTAACCTGCTAAACCCACCATTGTTCCAAGAAATTATCAACAAACGAAAGATTGTCACTTGCAATAAATGGTATTTAAACACAACATCAAGAAAAATGATAGGTTTAGTCAACAGAATTAGTACTCCTATGATACGGACATTCTGGAGAAATAACGACGTCAATCCAAACCAACCCTTATGGCAAAAACGAGCAATTATAGGATTTGGTAGGATATCTGTAAAACTAATCCAAAAGGGAAAAGAACCCGTTCTCAAAGACAGCATTTTTAGAAAAAAAAAAAAAAAAAAATCAAGGCTCAAAGTAAAGACCATTCGCAAATATGTTCAACAGTAGGCAGACGGGTTAGTAAAATTCAATGTACAGAGGTACTCTAGGGTCTTGAAGGGAATCGAAGAACCAAAATCTAGAAAGAAACGAACCCAATTTCAGAAGACAGCGTACAAGAAGGCTTGAGAGGAAAACCCCCTTTTTAAATCAAATAGAAAGATAATCCATTTGAGCAAGCGTTAAGAGATTGTGTATGATAGCACGAAAGATCAAGAACTTGGGCAGGAGGGTACGAAAAGAAATAAAATCACCTGAAGTTTTTCAACAGGGAAAGGGCCATGTTGCATCTCTTCTGTTTCCTCCTGTTCTTGCACCATCTTCTGCTTTCTCTGCTGCTCCATGGCCATTGACCGCTGATCTGTGTGTTGTGTGTCAGAAAGAGAGAGAGAGAGAGAGAGAGAGAGAGAGAGAGAGAGAGAAGGGGAAGTGGGTGAATGGCGAGGGAAGGGAATGTTTTCAATCGCGTCCCTGGGCGCCAAAAGCTTGTGGGGGACCACAAGAAGCAGCAGCAGCTTATTGAGTAAGCTTTGAGCCTTCCCGAATCACCTAATGGGCCAAAGACGGGCTTTTAAAGCCTAATGCTTCATTAAGGCCTAAAAGGCCCTTAATGAAGCACCTAATGGGCCAAAGACGGCCTGTGTATTTTTTTTTTTTAGAGACAATCGGATGTGAGTATTTTTTTCAAAATTTATTTGGTTTTAAGTACTACCTTTAAATTTATCCTCCTTTCAGTCCTCTTTTTTATCAAATAGTTGTCAATANAGAGAGAGAGAGAGAGAGAAGGGGAAGTGGGTGAATGGCGAGGGAAGGGAATGTTTTCAATCGCGTCCCTGGGCGCCAAAAGCTTGTGGGGGACCACAAGAAGCAGCAGCAGCTTATTGAGTAAGCTTTGAGCCTTCCCGAATCACCTAATGGGCCAAAGACGGGCTTTTAAAGCCTAATGCTTCATTAAGGCCTAAAAGGCCCTTAATGAAGCACCTAATGGGCCAAAGTGTATTTTTTTTTTAGGTGACAATCGGATGCGAGTATTTTTTTCAAAATTTATTTGGCTTTAAGTACTACCTTCAAATTTATCCTCCTTTCAGTCCTCTTTTTTATCAAATAGTTGTCAATAAGTACACATTTTAAAATATTTTCAAATTCTTTCTAAATTGTATTCCATAATTACCCCTACCATAAATAGTGCATACCTACTTGAACGTGAGACTTTCAAAATTTCTTTTGATATTTATGTATCATTTAAATTTGGAAATTTCGTATNCCAAAGACGGGCTTTTAAAGCCTAATGCTTCATTAAGGCCTAAAAGGCCCTTAATGAAGCACCTAATGGGCCAAAGTGTATTTTTTTTTTAGGTGACAATCGGATGCGAGTATTTTTTTCAAAATTTATTTGGCTTTAAGTACTACCTTCAAATTTATCCTCCTTTCAGTCCTCTTTTTTTATCAAATAGTTGTCAATAAGTACACATTTTAAAATATTTTCAAATTCTTTCTAAATTGTATTCCATAATTATCCCCTACCATAAATAGTGCATACCTACTTGAATGTGAGACTTTCAAAATTTCTTTTGATATTTATGTATCATTTAAATTTGGAAATTTCGTATACACACACACACACACACATATATATACACATACATATACACACACACACACATATTTAATATATATACACACACACGAAATACAGTGACATCAAACAGTGACACGCTCAACAAAAAAATAGTAACATCAACCATTGACACGCTCAACTAAAAAAAAGTAACATCAAACAGTAACACGCTCAACAAAAATATTTGTATTACTTTTTGATGTTACTAATTTTTTGTTGAGTGTGTTACTGTTTGATATTACTATTTTTTTGTTGAGTGTGTTACTGTTTGATGTTACTATTTTTTTGTTGAGCGTGTCCACTGNTATTTTTTTGTTGAGTGTGTTACTGTTTGATGTTACTATTTTTTTGTTGAGCGTGTCTACTGTTTGATGTCACTGTATTATGTGTGTGTGTGTGTGTGTATATATATATATATGAAATTTCAAAATTCAAATGATATACAAATATTAAAAGGAATCTTAAAAGTCTTACTGTAACACCCCAAAATTCACCTTGGACTGCATTATNTATATATATATATATATATATATATGAAATTTCAAAATTCAAATGATATACAAATATTAAAAGAAATCTTGAAAGTCTTACTGTAACACCCCAAAATTCACCTTGGACTGCATTATAATCTACCAATCATTCACATTAAGAGAGCAACTAATAAAATTCATAAATAAAGATAATTTGATTTATCATATCTAATATCTATAACATCATGTTGAAAGAATATGTTAGAATATGACCATTACATTCAAAAGAATCAAATTTAACTTGCAACGGAATACAGNAAATTCATAAATAAAGATAATTTGATTTATCATATCTAATATCTATAACATCATGTTAAAAGAATATGCTAGAATATGACCATTACATTCAAAAGAATCAAATTTAACTTGCAACGGAATACAGAATATTAGACTCCACTGAGTCTCAACATAAATTTTTCCTAAAGTAGGACAAAAAGAAGATAATTCTAGACATTCATTTCGGGATCCACGTTCCCATCTACCGAAGCTTCCCAATAAGCTTGCTCATCTACTTTGAGCTCTTCCTTTAACACATAATCTGAAAAATATGTTGTTTGTAAGGGGTGAAGACAAAACTCTATAGGAAAATCTTCTCAAACTCAAACAAGGTTTAGAAAATATACAAAACAGTCGGTCTCATTTTACAATTATTATAGATATAACTTTTGAGAGAAAATACGGGCAATTTGATCTCAAATTTATACAAGAGCAATAGTTAAATGAAATAGTAAAACCAACTTCCAACGATAAGAATATCATCAAATTAACAATTCCACCCCAACCATTTTCATAATGAACCATTTCCATCATAAATAACAAATTCCCACAATAAGCCAAAACCAACCACTTGCACAAATAGCAATAATCCACAATGGATCTCAGGTATGATGTAAGATATCGCATGACTAAACACATTAAGAATATCCTGGCCCACATACACACCCGATCCTCGCAAGGATATCAATATTTTAGGAAGGGCGTGTACCAACTCATGGCAGTGACGAAATTCAACTCAAGAATAGTATACTAACCCTCATCTTCGGTATCCGTGAGCGAATAGTGGTTTGGTCCTCATAAGGTACTAACCGCACTATGAGTGGTAGAAAAAATTCAAACCCGCACGGAGTAAAAAACGCATCTACCCACTCTGCGATACCCGGTTAACGGCCACCGGTGGTCATCCAAATATTCATAAGAGATACAATATCCAATCAATTTCTCAAATAACAAACTAAAATCCAAAATTTCCAAATTTCTCTTATATCCTTCCAATAGAACAAGTTAAGAAAATATGCAAAGAAATCATCATAAATACCATTTTATTGTTCAATACAAAGCACTAAAATTTTGAAATCAAGAACAAATTAAAAATCAAGAGAAAAATCCATTTCTCTTGAGAATTATGATTTGAATATGAGAAAAAGAGTTTTAATAGTTGTCAAACCATAACATTGTTTAAAACATGGTAATAATTGCAAGAATAATGAGAATCAAAGATTTCATAGTATACATACAAGATTTAGAGTCAAAAGAATACATATTTATAAGCCTTAGCCTCAATGTAAAAGAATAGGAAAAAACCCCTACTTTGGTGTTTTTGAAAAATTAGGGTTTTGATCTAATCCAATGTGCAAATCCCCTTTAATCTTGTATTTTTCCCTCTCTTTCTTCTTCTCTAAGGTTTCCTAGGGTTAGAGATGTTGAAATGAGACTAAATGAGATGTCCTTATGTATTTATAGGGAGAAAATTGGGCCCAGATCGTGACTTAAAATTTCTAGACTTTTATAGAGTGTACCGGTACGCTGAAGCTTCTGGAGTTCGACGTACCGGTACGTTTTGCCGAAAATCCCAAGATTCTGCATGTTTCCTCTATTTTTCATTTCTAATCAATTTCAAACCCTTCCAACTCCAATCCAAACTTTTACAACATACTTTTGTACCTCAAACCTAGTTGGTACAAGTTCTATTACAACGATTTCCTATATTTACAAATTAAAACTAAGTTTAAATTACTATTTACTCGAATTTTACCAGATTAACATTTCAAAAGAAATAATTACTTACTATATATACCTGTATACATATATAAAGATAAAAGTGTGGGGTTTATACTCACATTCAATTAAATATGCACTATTTATGGTAAGAGTAAAAAGACTTTTATGACTTTTTTTTAGCATATGTACTTCTATCCCAATTATTTTAAAAAGTGTATTTTTATTCTATTAAGTTTTTTGGGAGGTCTAAGCCCTTTATTTTTTTATTTTTAAAAATATTTTGTTCTATATACTTTTTGTCAAATAAGTCTAATTAAGTGTACCGACTTTTAAAGAACCCTTTAATTTTTAGGGCTTTTATAGCCGTCTAATTTGATAAACTTCCAATAAATGTTCTTTCAAATCATTAAAAACAATTAAAATTATAAAAATTAATTTATTCTTAATGGCATAATTAGCAAGATTAAAAAAATAGATAGTCAAATAGAAATTTCACTATTATACTGACTTCTAATTTTTACTTATTTTTATGGGTCGAATTACATATTTATCTTCACAATTATTAAATAAAAAAATAGAGTACTAAAATTAAAATCGAAAAGAAAAGGCATACGTACCACAGTTATTGAGTTTTCTTTTTCTCTTTTTTAGCAAATAAAACTTGAACTTATAATGATAAAAAGATAGAACTTTACAAGAAATGGTTAAAAACATGAAAATTTTTTTACAGATACACAGCTCCAAGTCACATTGAATCAATCATAGGCACAACTAATAAGATTAATTTGACGACAAATTATATTACTATACAAAAATTGATAATGTCTGAGCCTCACACATATAATATACCAACGATAACATTTTCGGGGGCTTTTTTTTAACAAATTAACACAACATGCTTCTTCCAAATGTCTTAAAATGAGATTTGTAAGAAATGGGCAGTGCATAAGCCCACGTTAAGTTTATAACAAAACATGCTTCTTCCAAATGTCTGGACAAAGTTTGATCAAAAAAATGTCTACTATGGCCCTCATAATAAAAAATATTTTTTTCACCTATTTTGCTATAACTATGAACTCTAGTAACGATTTACAAAAAATAATAAGAAGACCCTCTAAAATGCACAAATCCAAACATTTACAACATTCTAAAGCACAAAATCCATAAACAGCTCTTCAATTAGCCCACTTATAACCAACTCCTCTNTTTATGACTTTTTTTTAGCATATGTACTTCTATCCCAATTATTTTAAAAAGTGTATTTTTATTCTATTAAGTTTTTTGGGAGGTCTAAGCCCTTTATTTTTTTATTTTTAAAAACATTTTGTTCTATATACTTTTTGTCAAATAAGTCTAATTAAGTGTACCGACTTTTAAAGAACTCTTTAATTTTTAGGGCTTTTATAGCCGTCTAATTTGATAAACTTCCAATAAATGTTCTTTCAAATCATTAAAAACAATTAAAATTATAAAAATTAATTTATTCTTAATGGCATAATTAGCAAGATTAAAAAAATAGATAGTCAAATAGAAATTTCACTATTATACTGACTTCTAATTTTTACTTATTTTTATGGGTCGAATTACATATTTATCTTCACAATTATTAAATAAAAAAATAGAGTACTAAAATTAAAATCGAAAAGAAAAGGCATACGTACCACAGTTATTGAGTTTTCTTTTTCTCTTTTTTAGCAAATAAAACTTGAACTTATAATGATACAAAGATAGAACTTTACAAGAAATGGTTAAAAACATGAAAATTTTTTTACAGATACACATCTCCAAGTCACATTGAATCAATCATAGGCACAACTAGTAAGATTAATTTGACGACAAATTATATTACTATACAAAAATTGATAATGTCTGAGCCTCACACATATAATATACCAACGATAACATTTTCGGGGGCTTTTTTTTAACAAATTAACACAACATGCTTCTTCCAAATGTCTTAAAATGAGATTTGTAAGAAATGGGCAGTGCATAAGCCCACGTTAAGTTTATAACAAAACATGCTTCTTCCAAATGTCTGGACAAAGTTTGATCAAAAAAATGTCTACTATGGCCCTCATAATAAAAAATATTTTTTTCACCTATTTTGCTATAACTATGAACTCTAGTAACGATTTACAAAAAATAATAAGAAGACCCTCTAAAATGCACAAATCCAAACATTTACAACATTCTAAAGCACAAAATCCATAAACAGCTCTTCAATTAGCCCACTTATAACCAACTCCTCTGTCTCACCCACTACTTGTCCAACTTCGCCCGAAGTAAATCCATTCCTCCATCCCACATGCCATGCTCCACTCGCCACTCCCTTGCACCATAAATCTCTTTCCAGCACCACATGNATCGAAAAGAAAAGGCATACGTACCACAGTTATTGAGTTTTCTTTTTCTCTTTTTTAGCAAATAAAACTTGAACTTATAATGATAAAAAGATAGAACTTTACAAGAAATGGTTAAAAACATGAAAATTTTTTTACAGATACACAGCTCCAAGTCACATTGAATCAATCATAGGCACAACTAATAAGATTAATTTGACGACAAATTATATTACTATACAAAAATTGATAATGTCTGAGCCTCACACATATAATATACCAACGATAACATTTTCGGGGGCTTTTTTTT